TTTGGAGGATGTTTGGGTAAGCGGGTAGTGTCGAGAGGATTTTTGGCTTATACTTATTAGCGTAATGTTTTAGTAATTCTCGTTTGGAGAGTTTAGTGATTCCTTAAATCGAGCGATCTGGGTTGGGAGTGAAACGTGAAAAATGAGTAACGGTACTTTTGTTTTATAATTAGATTACGGATATTTATAGGAATTCACAGTTATTTGGATTAATCTAAAATATCGCGAGTTGCACTTAAGGTAATTTTATTAAGCAATTCGATTAGATTAGTATAACATGGGAGTATCATTAAATTCGATTAAGATTGTTCGTTTATTATGCTTTGCGTAGTGAAATATTCAACAAATGCAGTAACTCCGCATTCTGTTTATCATATAAGGTGAGTCATCTAAAGTATGTCCGACGGTTTTAACGACATGAGAAAATTTCTATTAAATTAAGCACGGTCATATAAAAATTAATCTATCGATGGTGATTTGAAAGTTAATTACAATGCACGGTTTCGAAAAAACATTAGATTCAATATTACAGTATTAACAGACCGTCATTCAACTGAAAAAAAGCACTGACTATCTGAAATAAGCTGTATTCTCCAAAATTTATATCTGTTTATTAATAATTCCTTTGAAATTTTCTCATTAAACGTCATGAAAATGTCGGAGATGTTTTTGTTTCATTTCTAAGCGTCTTCGCGTATACGGGTAAGTATAATTACGACCAAAAGCGGTCAATAGTTAATAACTCAATCGTGCCCGATAATTAGCACATCGCTTTAATTATTCCTGGGTTCTATCAATTCTGATTGCTATCTGGTCATTAATAGTAAACATCCATCTATGATTTAATCAGATGATAACGAAATTACTGCACATAATCGAATTACTTATCGTCTGACGCCGCAATAGGGAGTAATAACAACTGAAATCCCGTGTCGTGATACGTAAATGGCTTTTAAGAACCCCGATCGATCGTAATTCTTCTTTCGCCACGACTTTCAGCGCGCGTTCCAGATTCTTCGCGAAAAATTCCATTGAAATCGACGACAACCATCGCAGTGACATTTCCATGCAGGATGCATTAAAAGGTCGAGCCACGAGATACGACGCTCAGCCGTAAAAATGGCGGAACCGTGGGCCCAAGCCGACGGTGAACGTTAATTCGCTCGCATTGTACTTGTTAGATGCAAAAAGTACTTTATTTACAAATATTTCTGAAAATGAGAAAAGCTGATGTTACCAACTCGGTCACGATTCTTTCTTCATACTTGTTTACTTTAGTATTTGAAAAATAATTTCAAAGGTTTCCTTATGACACGATTCGAATAATTAATATTATTAAATTCTTAAGATTTCGATTTCCGTTATGTAAATTTTTCATACTTTCAGAAATTGATTTGCAGTGTTGGTCGTTAAACGGAAATTTTTCTTCTCTTTGGAAGATTTTATTAGATCGAAACTAGGAAACAAAATTTGCGTATTTCATCTTTTTATCGCGGTTTCAAGATAGAAAACACCGTCCTCGCCGTAGAGGAATGCACATCGGATATTCGCATGAAAATTCCATAGCAAATTCTTTAGAAGATTATTTTCTACGGCGATGTAAGGAGATTTCTATCGAAGATTTGAAACAGAGATCTACACGATAGAAATAAGAATAATCTTTATACTTTACAATTTCGCTCGGCACACGAAACGAATTGTAAGTTTTCTTACTTCGTAAAAACGTAATTCTTGTTTTCTCGAAGATGCGAGAACTGTGGTCGTTAAATGCGCAAAGAAAACTGTGACGAGGTATCAGTGCGGAGCCACTATAAAATCCGAAGTATTCAAAATGTCTCTCATGCGAGCATGAAAACGCGGTGTATTCGTATGTTTATGCCGAGCGTAAGAAGTAAGTCGACATTTTATTGCAATCGTTCTCGTCCTATGAACGTGATAGTTCTACTCAAACTTATACGCGGGGAAATTTCATACTGCTTTATGGTTTCCCTTTAAACAAAAGGTTTTATGCAATGCGAAAGAACTCGATCTGCTTACGTTAACCATCATTTTCATCCCAAAATCTCATGAAAAACTTACTTTCATTTTTAAAGATCAACATTTCTATCAAAATATTCCATAAAATATACTTTTAACATTTTAATTATCGAGAAGCGATCAGTACGCTTGTCAATCATTAAAATTTAGTACTAAAAAATAATTTAAAGATTCTGCTTTAAATATTAAAATAAATAGTTAAATTTTGGTATTTCAAAGGATTCGTCAATTCGCGATTGCATACCACTGACATTAAACAATCTCTCATGACATCCTGATTCTTTAATTATTGAATTTCTTAACATAGTACTGTTAATCGCAAGTTGGTGAACTGTCGACTCATAAAACAAGAAATGCACGGAGCAGCGAGTGTGATGAAACAAAAAAGAGTTACCCAGTAATGGATGTCCTCATTGGAATTCCACTGAAAGCGAATAGTTTCGTTTGTCAGTGGTTGGTTAACTTACCCGTCAGCGGATCCGGTTGAGTGCTTCAGATAACTTCCGACATCAAAGAAGGGAGTGTCCCTCAAGAATCCCTTCATACGGGAACACGGATTCACTTATCTTGAGAAAGATATTCATTTAATAAGGGAGCTGAAGATATAATGTCATACATTTACATATTTATTTTCACGAACATTGCGAAGATCACTTTGACTTCCACGTATGTGGTTGAGGACATAATACAGAGCAATTCTTTTTAATAACTAGCTTGGCGGTCTCGCTTAGTATTTAAGGTATTTATTAAAAAAGTTTCGATATTTACGAAAACACATTTTCCATAGATTTCAACGACCTTGAAATATATTGTTAATGATATTATTTCGAACAACTTCTCTTTATAGATATTATGGTGCCCCAGCCTTGGTTACGGAGGTATACGTAAAAATAGATTCAATGTTATATATATGCTGTGTGTACGCTGTGTTTAAGTCAGATTGGGGCTGGTATGTTTAACCCTACTGTAAGGAGATCGGTGAACCGTTAATTCACAATGAATTTAATAATTATCAATTGTACTTATCCTTATTCATAATTATTTCGAATTTTCGCTAACTGTTCATAATTAATTGCTACTCAAAAATCTGCTGCCCGATCGGTTACTGCATGATAAATTTAAATAATTTAAAAATAATCAATAAATAATTTAACGCGTCTTTAATTCGAACAATCGAAGAAATTTTCTCAGTGATTTTGGTAACACAATATCGTAGATTGGACATCTTTTAAGGAGTTACATGGGAATTCAAGATTATTTGAGAACCGGTAATTTGTAAAGCATTATTTTTGTTCCACGCATTACCTGAGTAAATACAGTCAACTATTAAGATACGAATGCGTTAATACACGAGTACCTCGGATACTAAAGCGCATAATTACCCTTGCACGGGGATAATAATTTTTAATACCTTGATATACATCTGTTTTAAGCATACCTATTGACCACACCCCCGTGACCGTAAGTGCACGTTAGACATTCATACGAGAAATCTTAATATTTAATTAAATACTAATATTACAAATATTCCAATACAAACAACGAAAGCTTCAAACATCATGTTCCTTTCATTATATCCAATATCTAAGTAAAATAAACCTAAGGAACCACGAATCTATAACAAAACTTACGGTACAAACGACAAAATGAAGATAACACGGTTCTCAATCATCCACTTTCATTTATTTGTCCTCCGCTGGTAACGTTGCAAATAACAAAACTTTCTGTTCGCAGAAAATTGTCACGAATCTGCATTGGATGCCAGTTATATTTTTACACGTCCGCGATAGCATCGAGGATTCGATTCGTATCGACGACTGAGAAACTGGCTCGGCCGCTACCTTACCGATGAAAGTCGCAGATGCTTCAACGTTCGGCGTAGGAGATAGCAGCACTCTACTCGAACAAACGTACCCGGAATCATGTCACAATGAAAAATTCAAAATAGGGAATAAATGGATCGAGCATCGTTGACCGACGAAACGGTCGATCGGAAATCGATGGCGCAACACGTCCGAGCGATTTCGTTGTGACGATGAAATTCAGCTGCGTCGAATCGATTTCCTTTTCGCACTTTTGGAGCGAAGAAAATTGACGACGCACGGGGTCGCGGGGACAGTTGAAACTGGAAAAACCAGAATGCCTACGGGATCGTGAAATTCGTTTTACGACGCTGTTTTACACCATTCCAAGGACAAAACGAAGTTTTTATAGTTCAATTCGAAACGCCGGTAGATTTTACGGTGGCTCCAACCCTCCACTCAGCCCTTTGATGGCCCTCCAGGCGTCAATTTAATAAACTGTTATTATTCAATGGGATCCATGTATTTTGTCCGACTAATACACCGATCAATCGATATTTCCGGCGACGTTATTTATGACCGCTACCCGGATCATATTAACGAGCTTCTATTAAATGGGTGTTACCGGTCGACGTTACGACCGTTGTTTCCATCTACAAGGCGTTTCGGAACACGGGAACGAATGTAGCGGGTTTTAAAATCCTCCGGAAAATGCGATGCAAAGGATAGTTAGAGGATTAATAATATTTTGATGTATTTGTATCATTAATGTATATTTATAATTTTTACCGAACGCATGAGATAAGTAATTGTTTTATCAATTATTGCGAGGGTTTACAAATCCGCAAGGAATGAGTACAATATCATCGAAGAACCTAACTATTTATAGTAACAATGTTTAGATAAATACGTCGTGTTTATCATGAAATTCTTGGAAAACAGTGCGTCGTCTTTTCAATGACAGCAAAACTGAATCTCACAGTGCAAGAAACACGTTAGTACGTCGTTTCCACAGTGTCCCGGAACGAAAACTGCATGACAGTGCAGAACAAATGTTTAATGTTGCCTCATAAGCTCGATTGTGCGTAGCCAATCGCGGAAACGTAAACAGCACGCAAAGGGAAAGTTGGGGTCGGAATGGTTATGGTAGAAAATTGAGAATCATTGTTTAGATTCGAGATGGATGAATTTTATTTACACGTGTATCAGCAGTTCTCCGAAAAATTTGCATTATACTCGGTCGATGTTAACGGAAATTGTTTAATGGGTGTATTGTTCATTGTATTTCATTGGCCTATCGGTTTCACTTGTCGTCGGAGCTCGACGTTCTAATCACTGGTATAAAACCGTACGGTGGTGTGCAGCCTCTTGTGCTGTCCTCTCTACTTCTGTTCGAAGATCCTTTTCTTCTTCTCACCGGTTTAGGTGCGCTGCTACACTTAATGATGAACTTAAACTCGGCCAGTAGTTCCTCTTTAAATGAAACCTGCGAAGTAATAGTACACTTGAATGTGGAAACTTCGTTCGAAAGACTAATGCTACTAGAACTTTGTAATTATATCAAGAACTTATAATTGGCTTACTAATTAATCACGCAAATACCCAAGTAATCTTAATCTAGTAGTATCCATCATTTGATAATCATAGGGATTGGAATTGATCTTATATGTTCAAAGAATCTTTAATTTCAGTTGTATTTGTACTAATTACTTTGAACAAATGCAATGAAAAAGGATTATATTGGTATGTGTAATTTGTCGTACATTGTTTTTCAAAAGGTATTGACACAGAAGCCTTTTCAATTCTATGAAATCAGATCATTTAAATCGACTGATTATTTAAGACAATGATAAATAAATAAACGGAATAATGAAATAAACAATGTTAGTTAGGTGTGTACGTGTATCGATGTTTAATATGTTTGCGTAATTTGATGTTATGAAAATGAATACACTATACTCACATTTTCACGTCTAGATACAAGGAAGACTTCGATGATAAGTTCCAGCAGGGTGTAAATGGTGGACAACGCAACACCTACAGTCAATACTAAGAAGACGCCACCCACGTTATCGAGATCCAGTTCTTCAGCTTGGCTACCGCCCCCGTCCTCCTACGAAGTGGTTGCAAATTAGATTTTGCCTGTTATATTACAGTACGTTTATTTCCATTTAAATTGTTTCCTGCGCGTACACACCCGACACTTTCCTCCTCCTCGTTTTTGCGTCCACCATTTTTTCTTCAGCTCAGTTATTAAACCACTCTGCTGTAGCTTCAGTACGGCAGTGTTTAGTGCGTGACGGTACTGAGAATCTAAAATACAGTTTCTCGTGAGAAATTAACTGAAATCACCATAATTCTTTATAAAAAAGAACCTGTGAATGTTTAGAAAATGATTGTACAGATATTAGAATTCTGAGGAATAAAAACTCCAGTACAACATCAACATTTTTTATAATCTTTTCCTTTTTCAAACTGCGCAATAGTTTCCTCAACATTCCTCAATGTTGCTACTTGAAACAACAACAATATTCATAGCTTTCCCATTCGCTGAAGACGATACGAAGATGACAAAAATGGCAATTCATCGGTAACTACCATTTTTAACTATTCCCATTTTCATTATTTTTAACAGTACGTGTTCTCGTAACTGTCTTCAGTTTATCGTGCCGTACTATTCAACGTGTTTATTATCGATTAATACAATTTACAATTAATTGAAATTTATTCTTAGAGCAAGCACTTATGTTTCTCCAATTCTATCTTTTATCAATGAAGAGCACTTACGATTTAGCTAAAATTTATTTTTGACTCGAACACTCACGTTTTCTCATTGCTATTCCGTAGCTCTTCGCGTCGAGCAGCCCGCCGATCTGCGTCACGTTGCAATATCTCTCGGTGATGTACTCAATCGAACTGGATTCCATTAAGAAAGCATAGTCCTCCCCAAGCACCTTTTTTAAGCCAGTGTCGTTGTCCGGCGTCATAACGTCTTTCGCATTTGCCGTCATTGTCTCGTACATCTCCTTGTACGTCGGGTAAGTGGAATCCTTGGAATGGGCATAACTCTTTCAACAAACTGAATTAGAATGACCGGCTCCAACTGTCATTTGCCTAACCCGCAACACCAAATACATCTAACACTGACTAGACGGTTAGTGGGGGAATCACAAGACTTGCGCATCTTTGAACTGCATTCTCGCGGCGACGAATCGTATACAAAACTGAATTTAGTTTTCTGTTACATTGACTTCCACATACGTTTAATTAGATACGTTCTCGACGGACCTGCGAGTTTGGTCTCATTTGTTCTGGGACCGGAAATGAAATTTAACACTAGAACTACCACAACCCGTCAAAATGGCGAGTTTCAGTTTACTTATTTCGCAAGGATTGACATCTTCAAAGTGTTAAATATCTAAAATGATTTGAAAAATAAATAGTTTCACATCGATACTATAGTCAATGTACGAAGCAACTGGAAAGAATCTATTGTTACAATCTTTTATAAGGGGTACGTGTTAATCATGTAAAATGCTCGGTAGTTCTAGTGTTAAGCAGACTTAAATAGAGGGTATTATTTGTTTTGGAATATGAATTCAAGCGTTCCTTACACGTAGACGCACATATGGGTGTTAACTGTTCAATACTGATTTCAATATCTTTAAAAAATATCGAGTAATGAATCAATCAATTATAAGAAGTTCGAAGCTAAATTTTATTTATGGAAATTTAATAGTTCGTATTAAGCTTGGACCCAAAGTCGGTTCCACTAACACGGACGTCCGTAACCCATGTGTAGTTCCAATGTGAAATGATAACTTCTGTATAGATGTGAGGTTTAAGGAACCGTCGATTCGTTATTTAATAAGCAAGGACTCACTATTCTAGATCTAAAAATTTGTGGTAAATATTACAACATTGCGATTGTTTTATCGTTTGAGAGATGAACTAATCTGAAATGTTGGAACTGTAGTAAAACTTAAATGTAACTCTCTAGAACTGTTAACTGGTATTTGATAAATCATTACACGCCTCTCAAACGATTAATTAGCAATACAATTTTATAAGGAAGATTAATAAACCAGGGTTATATAAAGCATCTGTATTAATATATTTTTTTAATTCACTAGACTGGTACTACTGAACCAGCAACTAATTAAAACACGTAAATATCTCTTACGTTTGAAACTAGAACATTGGGTGGTGTAATGAGCCTGTAAAATTCATTACTACTGACAGCTAAATTAATCGTTCATCACATAATCGTATTCACGTGATAATTCCTTGGCGAAGTACAGGCTTTTAGATAGAACAACTTACTTGGAAAAACATAATGGTAGATCCTCCCACTTTCGCGCCGTATTTAATCGTCTTCTTCTTCGCGAGCTCCTCAACGTTTGAGAATGGCGACACCAACGTCTCGACCGTCAGGAAGGCAGCTAAATTGGCAGTATAAGATGACACCATGATCAGACAGAAGAACCACCAGGAAGTTGCAATCATTCGAGTTGAAAGTCCACTGTCAATCAGAAAAATATAAATATTATTATAACTTTAAGAAAGAACATATTGAATACAGAAAACTGGTCAGACAAACTGATATATGCTTTTATGAAATATTTGTATCGAAACTTCGTTGAGAATATTATATAATCCATATTACATCTTCAAATATCTGTACATCTTTACCTATCAATTACTATATCAATCTTCAATAAAAAATAACTTCATTATGAATTTATACGATAAATTGCTAATATTGTAAACACAAAGAATTACTAATATTTCATACGAAATTTTTGATAAAATTATTTTTAATATTTCATTGGTAGAAAATAGATTGAACTCACATAGGCGCGATCTCGGAACCTTGCTGCATAATACTACCGATGGTGAACCATAGGGAATTTTTGAAGGTGAATTGGTTCTCCAGCTCTTCCGGTTCCTCTATACACGGATAGGGGTTGTTCCATTCAGCCGGGCATAGTCTTCCGATCACGAACAGTACCAGTGAGACCGATATATAAGATCCGATCAAATACCACCAGACTCCGGCCGAAAATGGCGACAAGAAAGAAAAGAGACTGGGTGGTGTTTTCGTTGGTTTTCGATACAGGATACTTATCCCTGAAACAGTAAAAAGTAAATGTAACGGTCATTCCTTAAATGATCACTACTCGATGCCACACAAGTTTATGAAAACAACATATCAATTTATTTTAAAATTTTCAACCTTAACGTTAAAAAAAGGACAACTTAATTCTCACGTATTCTATTTTTTAAGAAAACCGTACCACAAACTAGAGGAATATCCAACGTAAATTCTTAATTCAACTCTTTTTCTCTTAAGTTTATTGTTTTCTTTACAAAATAATAAGTTCTCTAACAAAAAGGGATGTTTATATTTGATAAATATAATAAAAAAGGAAATAAACAAATACTTACATAGAAATTGTTGCGGACTCATGATATGGCAACTATTTTAAGGGGTTAATCTCGAAGCTATCATAACGGTTATTCAAGAAATATAATTTCACACTGCTAATAAGCAGTAAAACACCACGTACTTCACTGTTAAAAAATCGGAGCGACCCAGTATTGGGTGCTAGGAGATTAACGTTACTATAAATAATAGTTGCATCGTTCACCGCGTGTTTAACGAAGAAAACTGAATCGAGGTGGATCGACGAAAAATTTATGATCCACGGGTAAATATTAAACGTTTTCTGACCAATAATTCTATCTGGGGGACGGTAAATTTACCTTGTGCATAAGAAATCATACCTAAATTCATAAAAGGCATCGTAAAATCGACTGCTGCCTCTCGTTCGGACGTAATTGTCAGATCGGTAATAGCCAGATCGGCCTCCTGCAACACAATATTACCGGATATTGCATTTCAATTCTGTTTCACCCTGGGGCGAGTGCAGCATGCCGTTCCATGGACATTATAACTAACACCAGCAATGATCCTGCCGAGCATCCCTGACCATTTCTTCGTAACCTTATTGAGGGATCCGTACACATTATCGCTTTGCACTTCGAACGTGTAATTAAAACCGAGCATCTTGCTAAGCTCCTGGATGATATCGATCCCGAATCCCTCGTAACGGTCATTTCCGGTCATCATTTCCGCGGATTTCTTCAGCATACCGTAAGGATGGCTCTGAAAGCAACAAAAATCGCGTGGCTAAAAATTGTTAATCTTGCTACATTCGTTTCACTCAATTCATTCATACGACACACTGTGAATATTAAAACAGCGGGAATGGGGGATCAGAGTGCAACGGGGAATGCGAGTTTCAATAAAAATTGTACAATGTAGCCCTTTTTATAATCGCCTGCGTGACCATTAAAATAAGCTTGATTACCATATACAGTTTTTCTTATTGCCGGTGAATGCGCTCTTAATGAATTAGGTATGCGTTCATAAAAGGGTTCCAATTATCTTTAAGAATGCTAGGACGTTCCACAGTTTCCAACAGCTCCGTGAGCTAGTAATTGAAAGTATTATTAATGAATGTAATTTATTACGATCTGTTCAGCTGGTTCGTTGATGGGATAAATCGTAAAAGATTCTTCAATAATAATAGTGCTTTGACGAAAAATGCACAAACAGATGATTAAAACCACTTGTAATGCTGGTATTCAAGTAATACTGCCAATGATTGCACGCTAAACGTTGATAAATAATAAACAACTATTAACGTCACTATATAGTTTTTTAATATAAACATTATTTTCTACGCTCGGATATATAATTATTGTCATTACCACTGCATAATATTAATTTGTTAAGACGCCTCTAATGAGTGCATCGTTATACCATTATATTTAATCTCGTCCCATTAGGTGAACCGACACGACTGGTTGTCCTAATCATCATCAGATCCAAAGTTACCGGAACCACTTTGGACGGACACACTTTCTCCATTATTCAGTTTTCCCAGTTAGAAAGCTTCAAGGGAATTGAGGGCGAGGTGGAAGAGTTAGAAGAAGGACGATTCAAATTTCATTCTGGCACGTACGATGGCTATCAGCACGATGAACGTTCTATTCTGTAGACTGAGCTCGATGTCTGACTTCGGAGGATGAGTTTCCGGCAGCCATTCGATGGCGTTTGTGCTGTTCCACATTCCGATCTTCTTCAAGCCTTTTTCCGTCACGCGCACCACATCCAACTGGAAATCGCTGCGGAACCCGGCCGTGTCGAACTTAATCAAACCGGTCAAACCCTCCATTTCACTCTGAAAGTGTAATCATAAAGAATCACCCGCAGTACCGTACATGCGTATCTCGTAATGCAATATTAATGACGTCGATAATGAATTTTCCTTTCTGCGAATGTAACGCCCGGCAATATTAAATTCCAGTTCGGAATATCAACTAGTCTTTATTAATTTACATTTTCAAAACATTCGTTATATTCCGATGAATGTTTCGTTTTTGAATTTCGTCCCTGGAAGAACATGTTCGACCGGAATCGGAAGATTCTTTTCCGACGTCTTATGTATTGCTACTCATAACTTTAAGCCGCTATCTCACTTCTATATACAACTAAGTTACGTATCTCGCGCAATTTAGAACGATTAAGATTATAGGCGTGCAGTTAACTAATATACGAGATAGACATTCTGGAAGATATGTTAAGTACTGGCGATTATTTATACTGTAGTGTGAGATATATGTATGAAAATTAAATAGTTTTCAGGCTTATGTTTTATTAAGTCATTTATTACAAACAGGCAAGAATTAGTAATAGTAATTGCGGATCATTTTGTACGTTTTATTTTATAAATCTCTATAACTTAAGATAAAAGTTAATGTTATTATTGGAAGGTATGTATTTCCAAAGATTTTATTTTCATATACGAATTATTACTTGGCGAGATTGGTATAGTAAAAGGGTTTCATAGATGATGTTAATCAATCAACTGTTTTTGACGAGTGTACTCGTCTTGAGAAAAGGGCAAAATTTTGTTTTATGACGAGTATACTCGTTCAAAAACAGTTAACTGGTTAAGGGAATATTCATTTTCGAAACAACCAATTTTATATATTTACTTGAATTAAAATTTAAAAAAGGAATTATTTGTAGATATCAATACCGGTACATACTAGAATAAGGCACACACTTTTCAAAGAGATCGTAACAGTTAATAGATTAAAGTGCTAATACAAGACAGTGAAAGGTGTAATGCTTAGAGATGAACTTACAAGACGCATGAAGTTGCTCAGACTGTAGCCGTGCTCCCAACTTGAAGTGTCGTTGCAGGACAATTGTTTCACGTCGCCCTTAATGGCGTCCTTTAAACGCTTGAAGGCCCTCGCGAAAAGTTGCACCGCATCGTACATGAGTGCAGGCTCAACGCGTAGCTGTGACGGATCGTCCAAACCCCATTCGTTTTTGTACATTTCTGTGATATTTTGCACGATAGGGTTCTGTGGGTCTATTAGCCTGACCCCGGTGAAATTAACCCCAGAAAATTGGTACGGCTCCAGATCTAACGTTTGGACGTCCTGAAACGATAATATTGATGGGTCATTTACAATCATTGAATGGGTCACCTATCAATAATTAACTGAAGCAAATTAGAGCTTCAATTATTGAATTCGTTAATCGTAATTTACATTCTTAAGAAAATTAATAATCATAATCTAGATGAATTTTGAAAATTTACTAATTGATACTAATTGAAACATTGATAAGTAAATAATAGGGAATTGTTTTTAAGTATAATTGTAGACATGTATTGCATGTTTCGAATGACAAATTAAATGTTTCGTTATATAAATATATTGTAAATATTTTAAGATCTGACAATTCATGATTCAAATGTTGATATATTGAATATTGAATCATTTTACCAGAGAAGTGACTATGACCCTGTTCTTCTCGGACATAATGCCAACTTGCTGCGCTTGCTTCAGCACCTCGGCGAGAATATCGATTGAACAATCAATCACATAGTTCTCGACTTCTGCACCTTTTATCTCTCGCATCGCTTTCCTGCAGAGAATTTCATGTATTCTGTGATGTATTCTATAATTTCTTCTTCGAACAGCTTTAATTACAGTCAAATGAAAATTCAGTCGATCGTGTGAAGCTATCATTATAAATTTATTAATCTTGGAAGGTTTGTATCTGTATAAGTTCATGAAAATTTAAGCAATTTAAGCAAAATTTAAGCACATTTAAGCAAATAGGACATATGGTAATCCATATTTGCATTACTTAATGTTCCACAAATTAACAAACATTGGGATAAACACCAGATAATGATTTACAATATTAGCGTACCTGTAATTGGGACCAGGTCCCAAATGATACAGGAAGATCGCGTGCTTGCGAGCATCCAAACGTTCCAACATAGGATGAATGCGTATTAAACTGTCCGTGTTTTCGTATAAAATCCCAAACGACTTCCATTCGAACTCGGTGATGAACAGATCGAAAACCTGATGACACATGAAACGTTTCTTCAACTTCGTAATCGAAAGAAACAGGTAAACTCTAAATTTCTCTATTCAGTAAAAACTATGATAGATTACTGACCTATTTCATTAAAAAAAAATGACTAAATTCATTTTTCAAGAACATTAATTCATTAAAATTATTAATTACTTATTTCCTTTATTTAGTCTGTATTATCAAATCAAAAAATCAACTGTCCTAAAGAAAAAAAGAGACAAATTTCAAAGGAAAAATTTGAATTTTGTTTTAATCATCAAATAAAATTACTTAAACTGTAATCAATTCAATAGTTAATAATCCTGTGATGTAATACTTGTTTCTAAATTACCTTTGACGCCATCTTCAAAGTTTACATACCTTTGAAAGCGTCTCCGCGTGGGGGTACAAGTTTATTCCTTTGCCGCGAGATTGCGATGGCTCCCATCTCGCATAAATATGAGGCATTTCCATGGTGTCGCACATACTCTGCACGTGTTCCGAGCAGACTTTATTCTGGGGCCCGAAAATCCCGGCCACTCCAGTGCCCATCAATTCGCATACTGAACACGTCAAACAAGTCAATCGGATTAAAAATGGCAGCGTACGAACCGATATGCAATATTCGAACGTGTAATGCGGCCAGCCTCTGTACCTTTTTGTGACACTTCGTACGGGTCCGTTCCGACCTGATTGGATTCCGTGACGAGAAACACATTCATGATTTCTGGATTCTCGTGCCGTTCCCTGTTCACCGTTTTCACGGACGTTTCGAAGGTTCGCTGCATCTCGTCGCCATTGTCGAACAGCCCTCCTGGAAATATCGTTTATAGATATTGTACTTATGATTTCTTGTGTGGGACCATTTTCATTTGTATGTTTGTGTTCGATTCTTACACATTGAATGCTGTAAAATGAAACTGTGAAGGAGTTTCATAAACGTTTTATCTTATTGTGAGCAAGTCAAATGGTATTCCTCCATTAAGTATTATTCTTTCGTTGATTTTTGAAAATTAAGAAGGTCAATATTTGACTACGTAAGAATAATTCATAGAAATCCTTACCGATGTGAACCTTCTTCGGGAACGCTAGGGCACAGGATATGAAGATCAATGGGAGAAATTTGAACAGCATCTTGTAGACATTCTATACGGACGAGAAAATAAATATACGAGTTAAATAAATGAAAGAGCTTATTGACCTTAGGAGAAATGCTGTAGTTTGCAACTAATTTTGCAGATACAACCACAATTCTTTGGGATCTGGAGATTCTGTTTTTTTTTTGGTTCAAGTTGTACAACTTGCGGCAAACATTATCAAACATTTTCCAGTACACAATAATTAAATACTAATAATACAACAATTACTCTACTAGTGTCATTTGACAATGTTCGCTCAGAAAAATCAAGAGAAGCTTCAAACATTCTCAAACCCTTTCAAACATCAACTTGGTCGCTCTAAGATCTAGGATCCATCAACACGCCCCAACAACAACACAAAAGAGACTAAAAATCAATTTCCTAAGTAACAGTGTTTGCAGTAATCCGCAAGTGCAAACTTGAATGTCGAGTAATATCGACGAAACAAACGACTCGAAGCAAGCTATCCGGACCAGTGTGTCGTCTAGCATAAGGCTGCCCAGTGAAACACGATTAGCTTCAAAGGCAGTCAGTGAACAGCCTGGCGCAGATTTATTTGCAATAAGATCCCGTATGCGCGTATTCAGTGCAAGCAGTTCAAACGGGCTGCTGGGATTCAAACGAGCACTTAACAGTGCGACGTTGTGTAAACCGAACGGGAAGCATTACACGCTCGAATTCTCGGCACGCGTAAATATTTAGACCCGTCTAAAATCAATCCTCCAATATTGAGTCTGGCTATTTATTTGAAGCTATCGAAGGGGGCTTCGGACTTGTCAAATTCTCGAGCGACGTCTTAAAATCAACTTCCTCCTCTTCTTCGTCTTCTTCGTTCTCTTTTCCCGCTCTTCCCGAGAGAAGATTGAAAAAAAGACGTCGTTCGATACTCTTCTTTTCTGGACGATCGAACACGGACGTTTGCACAGGGAAGAAGGAAACTCACTGCGAGTAAAAATAACATGTCCGGCGTGGGGATCGGAAACGAGCCCGTTAATGAAGTCGACGTCCCTCGGATACTGTTTTCCGTTAAAATAGAATCAAAGTGGTTTTTCGAATCCGCCGATGGACCGAAATAATCGCAATTATTAGCGCATTATACGCGGAGATGGAACCGAGCAGGTAATTTAAGAATCGATGAAATCCACTCTGCGATTCAATTGGTGTTTTTCTTGGGTACGGGATTTATTGTCAAGGAAGAAATATTCTTTGATTGTATAACTCTCGTTATTCGAGTTAGCACAATAAATTGAAGATCGTCAACTAATACATATTAGAAAATTCGAATCTACCAAAATAATAAGCATGTGAAATCTAAAAAATATTATTGTACAAACCATTCCAAGTAATATTTTCCAATACTTTCAACTCGTAGTTTTGAGATTATACTCCCTACATTTACGCAAACTCAAATTCTCCAGAACAATCAAAAAATAATTCAAACTCCTCAACCCCTAAATAACCAAATTCCACCACAGTCAAAGAACACAAACTCTCCATAACATCTCACTAAAGTTCCTACATTCGCGTCTCGCACGTTAACCGTTAAAAAGAAAAGTCCATTCCATCGTGAAACCAGCGAAAACAATAAATAACCCGAAAAAATAATTCCGTCGGAAAGTGTGTTTATAGAACAAGGCCGATCAATCAAAGGATCCGCGGGCGGTACAATTCCAGCAGCGCATAATGGGAAGAGGAGGAGCCGCCATTGCCCTCGGGACCGACGTGACACCGAAAAAAAGAGCACCTATCAAAACGTCACGACTCGATCGACATTTTGGCAACGGCGATGGATGCGCGGAGATTTCAAATCGCTTGACAGGATAATTTTGGTAGTGACGATGCCCGCGGTTTTCTCGCGGTCCGGTGACAAACGGGGGCGGGTCGCGCGCGGATCCAGGCCGGCCGCATTCAGCATTCCGAGAAAGCGAACTCTGTCACCTTGCCAAACGCACGCGTCGCGTTATTTTTCGTTCATTCATTCTTCGCGGCGAGGGTCACGCGACGGTTTCCGGCGCGGTGAACGGGCGTCGAGGAGTCAGTGAGCGTCGCGGGCCGCGTTCTTCCGTGTCAACGTGCCATATTCGAACCGACGCGACGGCGACGGCGCGCGGGCTTAAAAAACCAACGAAAACGTTGGAGTGCGCGTAACGAGCGCGGTATATTTAGACACCGAGCGTGGTCGCCAGTGGCGCTTGTCGTTCATAAGCTCTGCGACATAGTTCCCCGCTGAATTGCAATTAACGACGCCTACCAGCCAAGCTATTGGTGCATCGTTTTAATTTTCGCGGAAGATAGCTCGCGTAATCCTGTTGTTCCTCGAATTCCCCGATTAGAAACTAGACAATTTCCCGAGAAGTTCGCCGAATGTACGTTTTCGAGAGATTTTCGAGGCTCGACTTGATTTTTCTGGAATGTTTGAACCGATAACCGATGAAACGGATACTATGATTATTGTACTTCTCCTGTTTTTGGTTAATTTTTGTTAATCTTGTTTGGAGGAATGTTGTGAGGGAGTTAATATGTTTGTATGTTTCAGAGGATTGTTATTTGGAAGGAGAATTTGTATGTTTTTATAGGATTTGGAAGGAGTATGGTCGAAAAACGTTTTCCGTGTATCATGCTGGAGTTTGGAAGCACGATGGTAGAGCGTTGAAAAAGAATAAAGCGAGCGTCGGTGCGCCGAGCGTTAAAGGAGGAGGGACTTACCTAAAATTGCAATTACACACGGCTCGTTACCTGGAACAGAAGTTTGATAAACGTGCTTTTCTGAACGAACGTCGCGGCATGCACTCTAATTCCGAACGCCACTTCTCGAGTGGATTTTCACTGCGCACACGCGGTCCTCCCTTCCCGAGCATCTCGGACTCATTTGTACACCGTAACATGGCGGACACCTCGGGCTCGAGAGGCGACTTATTGTTAGAACTGCCATCGAAGCTTTTTCGACGACACGTGGATCGTCTGAGGTTTTCGTATGTATAATTTTCATTCGCTTCTCGTTGATTCGGTTCAAGTTCAACGTGGGGGTTGGCGGAGAACTTAAGTTTAATATTGGTATTAAATATTTCTTTAGAACCGAATTATATAATTTTCTTTTTCATTTTAGTATATCGCCTGAAGTTTTGTGTGTGCAATATTTTTTATTTCATCTTTGTAGATCTGTTTGAATCCTGTAGGGATAGTAGTTGAAGATATTAAGAAGAATGATTTTAATTCAAGTTTAGAATAGAGCCTCATCATTTTCTTCCGTTACTTTTAATATGCGAGGACAGTTGCATATTGAATCTATAAAAATAACATTAATTCACTTTATCTTACATTCATTTCAAGTTTTTGAGTATAAGGATTAAAAGTGTCGTTGAACATTCATTTCATTATGTTATATTTTAAATATTTTTATTTTCATATTAGACTTATTTTATTTGAAAGTTTTGGATTCCAGTTTATGAAAAATTTGAACATTTCCTGGTTTTATTGCTTTAAGTATTTAAATATCGCATACACGAGTGTTCTAGTTTTCACTTATTTCTTGTTACATTTTCGCCCTTTATCACGGTGACTTGTCCTGTACGCAGAACTCAGATTAGAAAAATTTATGGAAACGACAGCGCAGTTAACGGCACGCTGTAAAGCGCAGTTATTTCCCCCGTAAAGGTGCAGGGAACACGACAAGAACGCGGCGTAAAACCAAGATGGACGACTATTACTTTTGACACTATGTTCAGCTTATTCAGGGAATAAACTTGTTTTTTAGATACATTTACCCTCGTAAAATTCCAGGGAGCTTTCGTGTCATCCTTATTTCAACTTATTATTATCTCTCACCTGTTACATAACCGCTTTGTAATTATAAAATTTCCCAGTGAAAAATACAAAAGCTGAAGTGACGGAAAAGTCTCGATAAAAAGAAATATTAATACATTTCAAAACGAAACCTGTAGAATATCAAAGACCACTTTTACTTCAGTAACGCAATAAGAAATGAAAAAGAGGCATACATTCAATACAGAAAATCTTCAAAATCAACTGCACAATAACTATTCCATTTCACTAAAAAGTAAACACAAGAAATTAATATATAAAGAAAACTCTCAGTACTTCCAATAGAAGTATATAATCCCTTATGCATAAGTTTTCTTTGGTGTAATGAATTTTTTCCAAATACAATTTGTTTTATTCATTCGAGATCGTTCAACTTTTTCGAAGACTAGAGCCAATGAATGAATAGAAAAAACAAACGGAAGTCTAAACAGATTACGAAGATGTGTACGACCGTGTGCATGTGTACAGTTGAGAAATGATTTAATTCTAGCAAAAAGGCAGAGACAAAAGGTGTTTTCCTATTTCATAGTTTCATAGTTTTCATTGACTACATGTAACTGTATTGACGAGCAGCAATGATAAAAAATATCAGAAATTAGAACATGAATCTAACAGAAAATTTGGCGAGAAGAAATAGAAACTGATCTATCAGCTGAATTCCTCGGTCTAGTCATGAAGTGATCTCCAAAGCAGCGCGCGCGCGCGCGCGTGTGTGTTTGTGCATGTGTGTGGACGCGTAAAGAAGAAAGTATCAGGAAGCGCGCGGAAGTCGGGTGAAGTAAATTAAATGGCTGCGTTCCGAACTCAAAGAGAAGGCAAGAGCCGTGGAAGTTGGATACATTAGTGAATTAGTTACGTTAGCGGTTTGGGATTTAGTTCTCTAATCAAGGGAACGAAGAGTGAAGGCTGGCGGCAATTGATGTAAAAGTAGAACTTCCCGGGGACCAATTACGTGGCCGTGGTGGAGGCTAGAAGTTCTCTCTGTCGTAATCAACGAGGGGATTATGGCCGCGCGTTAAGTATATTACGCCTGGAATAATTTTCTGTTTGAACGAAAGAACCCGGACAGCTGGCAATTAATCACAGAAACGCGTGGAAAGCGTTTGTGGACCGCCGCGGACGAGCCCCGGGAGCTTTTCATGGGACGAGATCCAACGAATGGTTCCTCTGCTTAAAGTGTTAACAGAAATAAGGTGTTCGTCACCCGATGTATAACAGATAAGGTGATTTATTTGCAAGAACATTCCTTTCGCGGAGGGCTATGCTAAATTTGATTTTCGAAGGTTTATAATTTGAACTTAAGACAGGTATTCGTTTTTGGAAACATAGCAAATAAGGTTATTCGTTAGATTTTGTTGAATTGTACTTTTGACGCTTAGATCATTTGCTTTTATTTCAATTCCGTTAAATAGCGAATATTATCGGATAATAAAAATGAAATGGAACTTTTCACCTTTACAAGATGCTACTTACCGTGTACTGTGATAATAAGGAAGAACGATGAGTTGTACTTTTCATTTGGAATGAACGTTCCATTAACTAACTTCGCTCGATTAAAAAGTTAACCTTCTAATAAGTATATTAGCAGTAATTCTTATAATAGCTATTATAAAATTCACATTAACTTACCGGCTTAAGAGTAAACTGAACATTTTACCATTAAGAGGGAAGGAAGGTGTGCTTCTTCGAAGTAAAGGCAGAACACGGTGAATGAGAATTTACAGACGATGAGTTTATTCACGTTTAATATAATGTTCGTAGTACACTTTTACGTAAGAAGTATAATCAATAGGCTTTTAACAAACTCGTTTTCGACGTGAACGCGGTGAATCTTGTGGTACAGACAATATTTACAATTAACGTGTTTCAACACGCGCGGGCGCGCCGTTAATGTGTATATCGAGCGTCTTTGTACGTTTACGGTTCGATTCGTTCGGTATGCGTGTGCGTGCATGTGTGTATGTGTGTGTGTGTGTTCGTGTGTACGTCGACAAGGTAAATATTTGAGTCGAGAGTAAAAAACGACGGACAAAGTTCGTGGTACGATGACAGGGGGCTCGGTCGTTATCCAGAACGCGAGATGACGATCCAATTTGAGGATCGGCTGTTCCGAATATTCGTGGCTAATTGCATCGCGCTGATCTATCTGCGACCGGAAATCGATCATTCAGCGGCACGTACGACATTCGCAACTGTTTACACCGTAAGAGAAGGAAGACGGAAATTAACACTGCTCAGTTCGTGGCGTTCGTGAATAGCAACGCGCCAGTTGCGAAATCGACTTTCTATTAATTCTGTTAATCCGTAATCTGGCTTAATCTATTGAACGCGGGGCACTCCAGCCAGACTGATTGGAAGACTGCGTTCGTCTATAGAGAACTGGCGGAAGGATATTATCGGTATATTTCAGAAAAATGATAGAATGCAATGCACGCAATAAAATATGTAAGTTTTTTGTATTTTATATCCCTTTGCTGGGATTGATGGAAGTATCGAGACATTGGAACTATGTTCGTCATTTAAACGGATTTAGAGAGATTCAAACTGTATGAATTTTTGATAGGATCATATTGATCGGTTATTATTAATTTTGGAAATTTGTTACTGTGAGAATAATTATTTTTATTTAATAAAGAGTACAGTTTGAAGTTAATTCAACTTCTAGAGAAAAAGAAGTTCGACGAAACGTGTCTTCAACAGGGGTCTAGAAATACAATTCCTGAATGCCCGGTTTAAGGTTATCCTATTCTACTTGGTAGAAAGTCAAATATTAAGCCGCGCGTCCACATGAGAGTTACCATCGTGAGAAACAAAGATTTCGGTGTCCACTCGAGACTAGATTTTTGTGAGCTTTAGTCTCGAGAGCAGGAAACTTCTCTTCATTGTTACCGGGTAAGTAACTTCTTTGAAGTCCTTTACCTTAAAGTCCCCATTGTTATCTTATTCTCTCACGGTCGAGCTTTTGTTGACGAAAGAAACATTACTGAAGGTCTCCCTTCCGGTGCAGTGATAATTGTAACGTTCAAAGAATTAATCCAGATCGACTCGAAGCATTAGATAGCAGCGTATTTCGCAGATTGATCAGCAAATAGTTCGAACATCGGCGGAAGAATGAGTTTTTTCGAGACACAGGATGAAACAGAATGTACGTGTATATATGAAGTCACGTGTCCTATCTACACCCGATGAAGCGTTGATACAATGTCGGAACGGAAACACCTCGCAGACATTTTATTCGATTCGACTTTACAGGGTGGAAGTAATGAAACACGTTGTGGCTAGTCGTACGAACATGTTCGATTAGATGCACTCCCCGTGAACGTCCTATAATACAATGTCAGAGTATAGACGCGATCGTATAATTCGTGATCTTAACGGTTAATACGATTATTTACACTAAATTGGTGTATCTGAACGCCCATCGAACAGACAGGGACATTTTGTACAGCATTCTCTCGTCGACTCGAATGATATCGGGATACTTTCTTTAGAAATTAAGAGCGTGGTCGATGATTTTCGATTCACCTCGAGTTAGTTCGATGACACTTTCGTTCGCGTGACGCTCGACCGTTTATTCGTCGTGCGCTATATTATGTGTACTGTGCATATCGCGCGGGAGACGACGACACGCGACCAATTGTGCAGCCTCGCTTTCGGAATTAATAACAAGCGAAGCATTTAACTTTAATTGTGCTTCAGGAAAGTATATTTAGCTTCAATATCAATTACTTGATATTAAGCGGGATGTGAGGGAAATTTATACCGGAGGTAAATTATCGGGATCACAAGTTTCGTTTGAGTAATTTGATTAAAATGATTAGAAAGGTGGAAAATTGAAATATACATTTAAAACGGTGGAGCTATATTAAATATTCTTCTAGGATAAGAAAACAGAAGTGACCAAATAAGGAATAATTTTATACTTACACGCTTAATCCTTTACAGTTCTCTACACGAATACTATTAAAAAACCACCCAAGTTCCAATAAATCCATTCCCAATTTCACAAAATTTTAATTCCCAAATAAAACATCCAATCTATCGATGAAAAGATAACAAACCTCTGCCAACATTAACTTTATCCAATACCACGTCCAGATTAGAAAACACAAGAAAAAGTCAATGCAAACTATTCAACTTAATTGCAATTTTTAATTAATAACTTCTATCAATAAAAACTGTTTTTTCACAAAAAACATTGAATTAATCTTTACCAGCCCCAGCCCAGCACTTCCAACAGAAGAACGATGCTCATCTTGGGAAAACTTCTTACTATAATGGGTTAAGTATCTACAACACTAATCATGTTCCAAGAAAGCCGAGCCGTCGATTCCGACTCCCTCGAAGCGGCAATAAATAGTCATCCGTTTACCGCATCCATCGCGATCCGGTAAACCCTTCCGATCCCGTCCGATCCCTTTTTCGCCAAGAGACATCCGTATCCTCCGCAGTCGCATCGCGACAGAAGACAAAGATGCTCTACGGTCGCGTCTCCTCTTTTCCGTTAATCCCTTCCGCGCGATCGGCGCCGCCGTTGTCTCCCGCGCGGCACAATAAATTCCCGGCTGGCTTCGATTAACGATCGAACGCCGTTAGAGATCTTCCGGAGCAGTGCTGGCCGACGAACTACCCTTTGCTCTGCGCGGCTCGCATCGCTGCGCCGCTCGAAACAAATAAAGAAGAAGGGAGAGAAAAGAAAGAGGAAGATGGAACGACAAGAGAAACGAAGGAGCAAAAGGGTAGCGTATAAAGTACGCTTCTCAGAAGTTGGCCAACTATCAGCAAACTGAAATTGCATAGGGGCAAGCGGAATCTTGCATTTGTTCGATGGGGCAGTTGTAGCAACACTGACTTCTCGGTTCCGTCACATTGTCGTTATCGGCCGTAGTAATGGAACAAGCGAAATAAAATATGACGAAGTGAGGTGCTACGATAGGAGTGACGTTGACGTGGGATTTTATGTCCGTGGTTTCCTTGTGTTACATTTTCTTATGTATTTGGAACGATTATCACAACAGCGGACATGAAGACTTTACTACATATTAAGAGTTTTCTTAAGATCCCTATACACGATGAGACACGTGTCGAGACAAATTTGAGTCTTTTCCACCGTACAATATGAACATATGATCATAAAATAAGGAACACAGAAAAATGGTGCAATGGTTTAAATAAATACTCAAACTTCCGCTTAAATAAAAACTTACCTAAACATTATATAACAATACATTATTATTAAAAGTACAGTTCCCATCTACATGTAAAATGTATGAAACACTATACCCATCGAATAATCTTCATCATTATTTCAATTTCTATACAGCGAAAAGAATGTTTCTTATCCCACGGTGTGAAATCCAATAATAGACAAATTAATTAGACACGAAAGGTTAAGATATCCATGAAATCCTAAGAAACTGAAATAGTGTAGTTAATCGATCTGACCAATCATCTCACACGCCTCACTGCGTATAGGGTCCTTTACAGGGGATTAGACGAAGCAAACTGACGATCGCCTTTGCCCCTGTGCAATGTTGGCTTGCAGGTAGCCGGATAGCTTCTTAGAGGCGTATTTTACGTGGGGCATAGAAGTCAAAGGCGAATTCCGTTCGTCTAGACACAGGGCTCCGACTCCGAGCGACTCTCGCTGATTCTCCGGCGACGATCGATCGCGGCTTTCAAGTCCGTCGGAAACACAGGGATACCGGGATTATCCGTCGGCCCGTCGTCCGTCTTGATCGTTTCGGGCTCAGGTTAGCGGCGCTTTCCCGACGAAGTGCCTGTACTTGTTGCACGCCGGGTATTTTCCCTCCTCGGAGACGATCGACAGATTGGACTGCTCCCTTTCGCGACGGCACAGCGGCTTTTTCACTGGTTTTTTCGTGCCGTTCCCGCAGTCCAGGGCGTAGCGCAGCTCGCTCGCCATCTCCGAGCATACGGACTTCTGGAACGTTCGATGGAACCACCGCTGCAGACTACCATCAATCGTGCACGGCTTCGGATACGCGGGCACGCGAAGTCACGCTTCGGGTCGGGTTGAGACGGATGGAGAATAGGTTGAGAACGAATTGGTTTCAGCAAGTTCTCGGCGTTCTTTCTTTCTTTTTTAACACGTTCACGCCTGCGCGTGCTACCGCCGGTTTGCACTTCGATATTACACCAGATGGTGTGTACTATCGAATATGTAGTCGATTAAATTGGTTTAAGGAAAGGTTCTCGTGTAATTGGAAATTAACTTACTCATTGATAGTTTCAGTGATTCCAAAAGTGTTCAAGATTCCGCCAGATGGACGGAAACGTGAATTAAAGCGTTGAAGTGTTAATGCGATATTTATATTATAATATTCGAAATAAATATGTAGTGAGATAATGGAAAAGACTCGAACAAAACGGAGAATGGTCTCAGAGAGTTTCAAGTGAAATCTTTGGAATTCCTTTAGAAACGCGAGTTCCGAGTTTATCTTTTATTTCTCCGTTGAAATATTTATAGGGGTAAATCAAAGTATAAGGAAGTTGTGTATTAGATAAATGTCTATTATGAGGATTCATTGTACTAATATTTCCTTTCGTAAACAAATTCACACCGTTCTCCCAACGAACCATCCACGCGAAACATAAATTTGAATGAAGCTTGAGGTACCGTAAAGTTTCAGTAGCTCAATTATTCGGCACGTAGGAAGATTGTTTCAGAATCTCCGAAGTTGCCCGATCCGACCCGGCGCTCGTGTACCCGACGTATCGGACTTATCCGCAGATCCCCAGTACCCGAGCCTGTGAAGCTTCGTCAGCCAAATGCGATGACGCGTGCCAACATCACCCGCGGCCACTCACCCGCTCATCCCCGCGCGATATCAAGTTTATCGATGTTATAACTTTTTACGACCGCGGAATGTGCTGGCCGGCTCTCGAAACGGCTGTGGAAACTCGCGGTCCCGCGCAATCTTGCGCGAAAACGTTCGCTACAGTACTGGAGGGCTTGCGGAGACGAGAGGAGGAGACTGTTGACGACACGACTTCTCAGACGACTGTCTGGACATCGACAATCCAGCTTGCGTCTTTTCTTTTTCTTTTTTTCTTCTAGTCAATTTTTATTGTTCTCTTTTTCTGGTAAGACGCAAGCGGACGTCCGAGACAAAATGTAGAAGACATTTTGTGCTCTTTTCTCCTGGCAACACGCGTCACGACATAAAGCTGACTTTTCGATTGTAGGAAATTACATTCGTGCATTTGTGGCGGAGGTTCTTGGACGGTGTTGAGGAAAAGGGGGAAAAGTTAGGCGCAAATGAAAAGCATTCGAACTTGCAATAACCTGCAATAATTGTGCGAATGTATGTCTTGTGTGAAGGTTTGGCGAATGTTTGGGTTTACTTTTTGTAGTGGGCGTATCTAACTGTAAGCCATTTCCATAAACAGGCGGACGATTGTTTGGTTGATGGGGAATTGAGATTTGGTTTGAACAGTGCTTACTAAAGTGAAGAAAATTAGTTGGGAAAGTGTTCGGTTTATTTTGTTGGTAGTTTTTAGATAGTGATGTATGCCAGTCAACGATGAAAATGACGGATAAAATGAATATTCTGTACTTTTACCATTTTTTCCATTTTATTTCTGTTATTTTACTTTTATTTGTGATTCGCATAAATGTACGTGTCCGTATTTTAGAGAAAAATTTACATTCTGAGACTAATGCAAATTAGAAACAGAGGAATAAAAAGATTTCTGAATCCCCTTTTCATCGTTACACAAAGAAAAAGCAGAAAGATATTGAAAACAAGGAGAACAGGTCACACAAAACGAACTCTGTCTAAAAATCCATGCTGTACGATTTATTTAGTTCCAGTGCAGTGACACAACAAGTAGCAGAAACAAAGTACAAAAGTTGCTCACCTCCTGCGTATCCGTGGCGAGAGAGAAAGAGAGGCAAGAAACATTGCGACACAACTAACAATGTCATACTAAACTGTCA